GGCTTGCCGCTGACGAGCCACTCCAAGCCCTGCTAGATACTTTGATTCTGCATCTCCTTCTGCCTTTTTGATCTGCAAAATCTTCTCTGCTTCAGCTTTCTCATTTGCGGCCACCCTCAATCTTGCAGCTATTATGGCACAGGGTAAATATGAAAGAAAAATAAAATGTCAAGCTTTAATAAGAACTTACTCAAGACAAAAGCTTAAGCTAAAGACGTTTCTCAACTGCAATAAAGCTTGTGAATTTGAGGGAACATTGATACTGATACAATTTTTTTTCTAAACAACAAATTTTGTTTTACCTAATCAGGTTAATGACGAATTTCCAGTAAATGAATGTTCCTTCCATTTACATGTTTGAAAAAAGATAAAACAGAAAGGGTAATTTAAGCTCAGCCAAAAATATACTATGCCAATGCATAAAGCATACCTGCATTTATCTCATTCATGGCTCTTTTCACCCGCTCATCAGGTTCAATATCCACAATGAGAGTCTGAACTATCTCATACCCATAAGCAGACATCGCCTTCAAATGCACATCAAGTTAAAAACCAACACATTATGGATGCTAACCCCTTAGTCCTCAACAAACACACTCATAAAGGAGAGTCACCTTTTCAAGTTCTTCCTCAACAGCTCTTGCAATTTCATTCTTCTGCTCAAAAGAGGAATCTAGCTCCATCTTTGGGACGCATGCCCTGATAACTGAAACAGCAAAAGGGATTTATCAGTCTCGTCCTAAGAACCCAACTTTTACACAGGAGTTTGTTTAGGTCACAAATGAACACCATCAAAGACATAGGCTTGAATCTGTTCCCTGGTATTGCTAAGCTTGTAAAAAGCATCCACTGCCTTTTCCGCCATAGCTCGATATTGAACAGATGCAACGACAGTGACAAAAACATTGTCCTGATGGTATATAACAAAATCAGCAGAGAAAATCACGGAGATAAAAAAAAAAAAAAACATGTTTGTTAAAAACTTAATTGAGCAAGCATTTAATAAGAGCTTGTCTTATAAGAACTCATTCATAACCTTTACTCGTATAAGCTAAAAGAAACTCATAATAATGCCATAAGATCAATAAATTTACACTGTTACTAAAACACATGTTTACACACTCAACCATTCACATATAATCTTGGCATCACTTTTAAAGTAGTTATTATAAAATTGAGTCTAATTTGTATGCACTTAGTGTAAAATAATATATACCGTCAACCAATCAAAAATCATTATTGGTATGACTTTTGATGTAATTATTGTAAAATTCAACAACTTAGCAGATCACGCATGACAATTTGTAATTGGATAACTACATATAAATCTTTTACACAATTAGTGCATACACTAGTTACTCTATAAAACTCAACTAACTTTTCATATATAGTGATATTTAATTTGATGACCAAGTAAAAAGCTTTTGCATAGGGGTACATTTCAAATAAATTCTGAGATCAAACACCCCCTAAAGCTAACCATATTGGTTATGCATTTAGATTTTGAGAAGAAACCTTTGTCTTGGTTTCGCATCGAACATCTAGCTGTTGCACACGCAAAGAAAGGTAACCAGCTACTTGGGTGCCAAAGAACCATGGCACACAGTGGAAACCAGGTTCAAGAACATCAACGAATTTGCCAAAAACTTCTTTGATAGCTACAGTTGATTGCTCCACTTGAAGACAACCCAGAGCAAGTCCCATCTTTAATCTTTAGGAACCCTGACCAATAAATTGTCAAAATAATATAAAACCTAACAGAAAATGGTTGTTATATTACCAAGGGTTTTCTCAAGGAGGTGATTTTGCAAGAACATGATGTCCATGAATAATAGTTTAATACGGAATCAAACCAAAGTAAAGAGAATTAATTGCATGAAATTTGGTGGGGAAAGAATGTTAATGTCTTGAAAAGAGAATGATATGCCATGTAAATACAAATTCAAGATAATTAAAAGGAAATGAAGAAAAAGAAAGAGAGAAAATTGGTTTGTTACCTGAAACAAGAAGGCACAGATGCAGTTGTTTTGGTCTGTCTTTAGAACGCAACATTTGCCACTAGAATCGACATATGATATGCATCTTCCTTTTTTGTTTGTTAGTTACTTTCTTTTAGGTGCCTTGGATTGAATTGATGAGTAGGTTGCAAATAATTTGCCTTATCATAGTTATAGCTTCTTTAATTTAGCCCTATGATTTGGCATGCCCTAACCTGTCGTTTATTATGCATATTAGATTTTTTATGAATTAATTATCATAAAAAAAAGTAACACTATCATTAATCATTTTTTTATATGAGCTACACAATATTCAAAAAATAGTAACAAACTAATTTTTTTTTAAGAGATAACCAACTAATTTATATTTATAAAACATAAGGGTACACAAATAATTTCAATATTTCTAATCTTCATATAACAAGTTTTTGATCTTATAGTTTTCATTTTTTATATCCTTATACTCTTCAGTTTAACTTATCTGAAGGGTTTAATATAAACATTAATTTTACCTTTAATATCAAGATAAATTGTCTTTATGCATACTTAAAAAGTAAAATATACTTACAAAAGACACTTCAAAATTTAAGTAAGTTATCAATTTCAAATAAATCAATACAATGAATATATTAAATATAAAAATACATTTTTTTTATTATTATAAGTCATTATTTATACTAATCTTAACAATCTATCGATGATAATAATCTCAAATTCCTTTTACCAATTTTTTTAGCACATTCATCATATTCCCGATTTCAATATAAGGATATTGGATCCACCAAAACACCCTTTCAATATAATAGGAAAGTGGTGTGTATTGTTGGTAACATACATATATCGCTTATAATGATGGTTATATATATAAATCAATTTGTGCATTTCCTACTTCTTCGTCTATTGAAATAATTCTCCATACTAATCGAAAGCATCAACAATGGTCTCAACAGTATCTAACTTTTTGATTATATAGACAAAATTATTATTATTTTTCTTTTGCCAGTTTTCCGAGAGAAAACATGGGCAATACATAAAAACAGATTATGTAATAATTGGAAGGATTTTTAGTGAACCAATTATGGTGTCAAGTTCCAAGTTCCAACTATGTGTCTTTTCGAAGTAAAAAAATCATATACTATTAGTAAAGGCTGTGCCTTTTTTTTAAAATGTTTTATTATAAAAAAAAAACATGTTTTCAATTAATTTCAATAAAACATAATAATTATGATGTAATATATCTTCCAAATTTAAATGATTTTTTTTTATAAAAAAATGAGTTTAGTTATAGATCATTAAAGATGATAGAATTTATCGAGAGACATAAAATTATATTAAGTGTTTACCGTGCAGTTTTATTTAGTTTTTATTCTAAAAAAATTATTCAACACAAACAAGAAAATTAAATACAATTTGATTTGATTCGTTTTAAATAAATTATGAAATTTGACCAAATCAAACTAATATTTGAATTTGATTTGATTTAATTTTTGCAATTTTTAAAATTTATTATTTAAAAACAAATCAAAATATATAATATTATGTTATTTATTTAAGATTATATATCAAAATTAAAACTAATAATATACAAATATTTAATATTTTGATCGTTTATTGTATTTGACACCAATTCTTATCTTATTATTTTAATAAAAATATTTTTTAATTCAATTTTAGTTATCATATTAAATTATTATATATATATATATATATTTTGTCACTTTGATAAAGGACACCACTTGAAAAAAAAAAAATTTTCGAATATTATAAATAACTAACAATGTTTATTCTAAAATTAAGTTTAATAGTTTTTTGTTAAATTAAAAATCTTGTATTAAGAAAAAAGGCGGTTATTTAAGTTTTAACAATGACAAGCAAAATATTTTATTTAAACAAAGTCAACATTCTTCAAAGATATATCATGTTAGACGAAATGTGGAAAATATATATCATTTGTAAGATGAAGGAAATTAGATAAAACATACAGTCTGTCTGATGACATTAAATAAATACTTTTGAGGGAGACTAACATTAAATTTCACTTAATGTGTTATTTCTTAATAGATCAGACAAGAAAGAAGCTTTGAAAGTTTCGAAGTTTATTTAAGACGATAAAAACAAAATATTCGTAAGAAGCAAAAAGGCAAAATCCTGAATATTTCGAAAAAGGCTTTGCAAAAGACTGCTTTGTTTTGACTTCAACTGCTCTACGCTGACATTACTTTTGTCATGCTCAATTTAGAAGGAAATGACGATAAGTAGTCTGCAAGTTCAGATAAGAAATACACGCCTTACTGAAAGGCATTTAATACTTGCATTAAATGCATCAATTGTAATATCTAGGATCAACAAAAAAAGAACGAAGCAACTCAATTTCAACTTAAAGTTGTTATAACAGTCATTTTCTCTGAAACTACTGTAAAAGAATCAAGCCTTCACATAACGATGATATAGAGAAGTACTGTAAATCAAAAAAATTGACACATGCTGAAAAGTTTGTATTGAGAAACATACTAAAATATACAAAGTTGAAGTATCGTAAAAAAGTTTTTCATTGTAAATCTTGTACATAGTTTTTTTGTAAATTATTTGTACTTAAGTTTCATAGCGTCACGTCTAGAAGAGATAAAACTATCTTTGTAACTTTTTTCAAATTTCTATTTGTAAGGTTTGAACCTAGAGATGCTTGTTGAAAGAATACTTAGTATTTGAGCCTGAAGAGACTTGGTTGAAAATAATACTTGGTGTTGAGCCTTAAAAAACTTATTCAAAAGAATATATACTTGGTGTTAAGCCTAGAGAAACTTGTTGAAAGAATACTTGGGTAGTTATTTTAAGAGGTTAGTCAAAGACTACTTAGGTATGAATAATAAGTGATTTGTTGAAAGAATACTTGTATCTTGAAAAAGATAGTGGAACTCAATCTGGTTAGATTAAGAACTAGACGTAGTCTTTGTGTTTGAGACGAACTAATATAAAAGATCTGTGTTCTTCCGTTTGTTGCATTCCAACACTTTGGTTGTTAAAGCTTTTACTACTTTACTGCATTTCAGAAAATGTGAGTTTTTAATATATACAATTCAACCTCCCTTCTAGTGTGTGTTTTTTTCCAACACTTATAATTTTGTAATTACCTTTTAAATATTATAACATATATTTGAAAAGAAAAACATCTTTTTATAACTTACAATTTTATAAAACACCCTTTATACTATATGTCTATTTTATATACATATACTATGTATTTGAAAAAAAAATATTTACAAAAAAGTGTAGTTTAATATGATTTGGAGTGATTTCATATTTGAATTCAAAATCAAACCAAACTGCACAGCTTTAAAAATTTTAAAACCAAATCAAACGTCTAATTTGTAATTTTTACCGTTTTTTTTAATCAATTTGCGATTTCTTATTTAGGTTAGTTTGATTTTAAACATCTCTAATATATGTATACTGTTCATAAAACTAGTTTGCAGAAACAAAGTAAACTTTGTAATATTAACTAACATAATTCTAATACAAGATGAATGGTATTCAAAGTTACCTTCAAGAAGAGAAAATATTGATTGCATCAACAATGGTTTGTCTACTATGTAAAGCAAAGCCAAAAAAGACTTTGAATTTGAGGTTCAAAATATTTGTAGCAATTGAATTAAATTTCGGGCTGGTTTTTCTTTTTTCTTTTAAAAAAATCTAACTGAATGAATAAAATGTAGATGAATTAGCCATGTTCCATCTTGAAGGAAGCAAAGAGATTACATCGACAATACCAACTTCATCCAAATGCACTAATTAAAAGACTCATCATGTGTCACTTAATTCACTATATTAGTCCAAGTTATTATCTCGAAAGATATTAAATTAAAGAGAAAAATCCAAATAAAAAATATATAACGCAGATTTACCAATCTTATAGTTTTAATTTATTAGTTTCATATTTCCATTAAAAAAAGGTGTTATATTGCTATTTTTAATTGTTTATTCATTCATTTTTCTCATATTGCTAGGGTGTTTCCTTAACCCTGTTTGATTCATTTAGTTCCATCACATGGACACTATTTTGAATGTAATGTGTTATGAAAATTTAAGGACAATGACATATGCATCAAATTAATACTATTGTTAATCGTCAATGATATTTGATACAAATTCAACTGTTGCTTTCTCTATACTAACCTAATATTTTAAGATTTTAGATTATAATGTGGTGTTAAATTCACTCATTAAAATTTAGTTCAACTAGGTAATAAGAGTTTGGTTTGACTAGGTGACCAACTCAGATGAGTATTTGTCAATAGAATTGACAATGGATCTAAGATTGAGACTATAGATAATCCAAAAGTCTTTTTAGAAGTGTAGATGATGTGTCCCGTTAATGTGCAAAATGGTGCAAGTAGGCCATCATTAGATACTCGTGAGCAAAAAAGACTTCCCCTTAAAGAGGGAACACAATCATGTGAAAGAGATTTATACTTGAGAGATAGTGTTAAAGTTTAAGTACAAAATAAGTTTCATATTAGTTAAAATATGACATGTTAACCCCACACTTTTTCTTATTTGATAATATTTTCTTTGCATTTCTAAATACTAATATATTAATTTAGTGTATTAAACTATCAATCATCATTTTTGTTGGCATAGTAATGATAAGTACCATATCTTCCTTCAATGTTACAATAGTAATTTGACAATATCCCCTATTTCAAAAGTTTTGGGAGATAAAAGGAAGATTATTGGATTATTTGAGGGGAGGTGCATGAATACCTCACTTTGTTGACTTCGGAATAAAATTAAACAATGACTCAAATATGATTTAAGTGGTTTCTTCAACCTCTTTTAACAACTAATTGAGACTATTGTTTGAAAGTCTTTGTTTATAAGAAAAGTTTCATCTTTTGCATTAGTGATCAAATTACAATGAACATGTTCATTAATTTTTGAGGTTTAAAGGTCTATTTTTTTCTCTCAATAATAAAAGAAAGAGTG